AAGAGAGGTCATCTTGCTACCGCGAGAGCGACCCAACTCGTCGACATCGTCCGATGATGGTGCCGCAAAGTCAGCCTTCGGAGGCTATCGTGGGGTCGAGCCGCCGGCAGTAGCCGTGACATGTGGTTCCACCACCCCTCGTAGGCTTTGCCTCTGACCGCCACCGTTCCCAGGCTGCCTAATTGGATGGAAAGGAAGGCTCGGCGAGCGTATAGAAGCGTTCTCGACCTCGTCGTGGCAACCTGTACGGCAGCGCTGGTAGGCGCGATGAGCGTCGTGCCACCTGACCCGAGACGGGTCGCAGGCGTCGTACCGAGCGCGTCGAGACCGTGTCCTGATGTGATCTGCACGGGTGAGTCACGTCGGCGTCAAAGGAGCGACGTGCGACCTGTCAGAGCTTGATCTCCAATCTCAGCTGCCTCTGTGCGTCCTGGGGAGGGACAAAATTGTCGCCGCCGGAGACGACTCGACGCCGCTGAGATTGGAGATCAAGCTCTGACAGGTCGCACGTCGCTCCTTTGACGCCGACGTGACTCACCCGTGCAGATCACATCAGGACACGGTCTCGACGCGCTCGGTACGACGCCTGCGACCCGTCTCGGGTCAGGTGGCACGACGCTCATCGCGCCTACCAGCGCTGCCGTGCAGGCTGCCACGACGAGGTCGAGCACGCTTCTATACGCTCGCCGAGCCTTCCTTTCCATCCCATTAGGCAGCCTGGGAACGGTGGCGGTCAGAGGCAAAGCCTACGAGGGGTGGTGGAACCACATGTCACGGCTACTGCCGGCTCGACCCCACGATAGCCTCCGAAGGCTGACTTTGCGGCACCATCATCGGACGATGTCGACGAGTTGGGTCGCTCTCGCGGTAGCCAGATGACCTCTCTTTCTAGGAGCATCGGCCATGGCCGCAGGGAGCGCGGGGGAGGGCGCTGGAAGCAACACGGAGCTCCGTTGGAGACGTTTTCAAGATTAGCGTGTCAGAGTGAAATGGCACTAGCCACAAGAAAAACCTCCTTGGCGCTTTGGCCTTTGGCTTTGCGCTGGGGCTCTACACACTACAGGGCTCAAGGGGGGGATCCGTCTGGAAAAAGGATGCTTTTCGCTGCACATGCTGAAGCCGCCAGGCAAAGCTTGTGCTGTGAATAGCAGGCGTGGTCCTTTATCGATCAACACTTTCGATAGACCGAAAGTAAGATCGTTCGGTGCAGAAACCCCGGCCATGCCCATGTAACGCAATTGTGCTCGATTTTTTTGATTTTGTCTCCAAGTCTTCTGGACCCATCGATGGCCGTCGCCTCGACGCCGCTCGTCGCGGCACCATCGTGCCCGGCCTGGGCGAAGCATCGTCGCGGGCGCCAGCCGCAGTTCGACGGCAAGCCGTGCGAGCCTGCCGAGGAGGAGGACATGTGGCTGTGCCTGGCCGACAGCCGCGCGCGCAGCACCGCCGACCTGAAGCGCCTGGCGACAGCCGCTCGGGTGCGAGCGAAACGAGCAAGAGATGCAGCCGCCGCGAACACGCGCGATCGGCAGGCGCGCGACCAGCGCCGCCGGCAGCGTGAGCAGCACGACCGGCGCGCAGCGCCGGCGGTCGCCAAGACCGTGCGCCCACAACGCGGCCAGTGCGGCTGCCCGGCGCACGCGGTGTGCGGCATGTGCGTCGACCAGGGCAAGCTCGCCGCGGCCGAGCAGGCGGCCATCGACCTGGAGACGCGCTTCCACGCCTCGACGAACGTCGTCATGGACCTGGAGCGGCCCGAGGACGAGACGGCGGCGCTGCTGCAGCGCTGCGTGCACGTCTCCGACGAGACGAAGCGGCGGCTGCTGGGCGAGTGGAGCGACGAGCGCATGGCGCACGCGCTGCCGCTGCACGCATGCGCCTCGTGCGGCGTGCGGGACCCGTCGCTGACGTACACGCGGGTTGACGTGTCGGCGCTGCCGCGCACTGTGTCTGTGCGCGTAGCCGGCGGCGAAGACGAGACGCGGACGCGAGTGACGGAGAGGGTGACGAGCAGATGCGCGACGCATCAGACGCGCAGGATGACGGTGCAAGCATGTCCGAGGGTGAGTAAAAGTGTGAGGTTTGGTGGAGGCTGTAGCGTCGTCGCGCGTAAGAAGCGTGGTGAAATTTAGAAAAGGAGTTGCGGTGTTGATCGCCGCGGGAGCCCTCTTATATTCGCCAGCGCAACGGGGTTCGGGCATGTGCATGCCAAACGGAAAAAGAAATCGGAGGCGAGTTTTCTTGTTCCCTAGAGCGCCTTTGGCGAAGCGGCTCCTGACTGCACGTCTGTGCTCGACACCCTCACCCCCGCCATGCAGGCCGCCGCGCTGTCGGCTGCGCCGCAAGCGGCCGAGACGACGTCGGGCAGCAGCCCCACGCCGTGGATGTCGCGGCCAGCCGGCGTCACGTACCGCGCCTTGGTGACCGACACGCCACTCCCGCCCACCAGCCGCTGCACGTTTTGGATGCGCCCCTTGCCAAACGTGCGGCCCGGCCCCACCAGCGTCGCGCGCCGGTTGTCCTGCAGCGCGGCGGCCATGACCTCGGAGGCGCTGGCGGTGCGGCCGTCGACGAGCAGGTAGAGAGGCAGCCGCGTCTCCGAGCCGACGCCCTCCGAGAAGAAGACCTCAGCCACTCCGTCGCGCCGCACCTCGGAGACCACCTTTGCGTTGGGCGGCAGGAAGAGCCGCGCCGCCTCGACGCCCGCAGGCAGGTACCCGCCCGCGTTGCCGCGCAGGTCGATCACCAGCGCCTCTGCGCCGGGCGACACGTCGCGCACCGCCCGCACCAGTTGCGCGGCCGTCTCCTGCGTGAAGGCCGAGATGCGAACCAGCCCCGCCCGCTTGCCGCCCGCCAGCAGGAGGGAGCCCTTCTCCACCGCGTTGGCGCTCACCCGCGCACGCTCGAGAGGCAGCTCCGCCACGCCGCCGCCGCCGCTCGCGCCGCCGCCCGGGTGCCGCACCGCAAGCCGCACCTCGCTGCCCGCCTCGCCGCGGATCAGGGCGGCGCACACCTCGGCGGTGGCGCCCTCCACGCTCTCGCCGTCCACGCGCAGCAGCTCGTCGCCGGGCAGCACGCCGCCGAGCGCCGCCGGGCCGCCCGCCACCGCCTGCAGCACCACCACGGAGCCGGTCTGCGGGTCGAGCTGCAGCTGCACCCCGATCCCCGCGCCGTCGCCGCGCGCGTAGTTGCTCACGAGCGCGTCGTACTGTTCCGGGTCGAGGAAGCGCGTGTACGGGTCGCCGAGCGCGCGGAGCATCTCTCGAATCGCGTCGTACGCCTCGCCCATGCCGCCCTGCTTGCCCGCGAGGCCCCGCAGCGCCTCGCTCTGCTTGGCCTTCCAGCCATCCGCGCCGAGCCCGTTGAAGCTGCCGTCCACGTACTGCTTGCTCACCTCGCGCCACACATCCTGCACCAGCGCCTGCTCCTCGCTCAGCGCCAGCGCGGCGCTCCGCTCGACCCGAAGCGCGGGCAGCGCCGCTCGTGCGCCGGGCGAAAGCACGGCGGGCCCGACGGTGATGGATGAGGCAGCGAGCGCGGCGGCCAGCACGGCGGTCGCGACCGCGCGCTTCCAGTCCTTGCCGCCAAACTGCTGCGCCCTCTGCGGCACCTGGTCAGCTGGAATGCTAAACCGTGTGAACGCCTCCCCCCCCGGTCCCGAAGGCTGGAATGCGGCGAGCGGCGAGCACGGCGAAGCAGCGCCAGCTAGATAAGTGGATTGCTGCAAAGCGCCTGTGCAGAGCGAGATGCCCGCCGCAGGGGGCTGAGAGGAGATAGGCGGCCGCATGCTGCACACAAGCCCGCGGGCATAAGAAAACCGAGGTTAGTTGAGTTTTTAATTCAAGCTGTCTCGGAAAGGCTTTTACAAGCAAACCCGGTCCTGGGCGTGAGGTTAATGACCGCACTCCAAGTGCTCCAAGTGCTCCAAACTCCCTCGCACGATGGCGGCGTGCCGTCCACGCCGCAGAGATCGCTTGAATGCCGGCATTCAAGCGCGACAGTGCTAGCCGCCTCCGCGATGCTGAGCGGGGCAAGAAATCTCTCTCTCTCTCTCTCTGGCTCTGCATGAAGGGCGGCGAGCCGCTGACGATGCGCGAGGCGTCCTTCATCAGCTCGCTGATGAGACACGCGGCCACCGTCCGGTTCACCATGCCGACTGGTTGCGTTGAGGGGTTGAGGGTTGAGGCCCCCCCTCAACCATCTGTGTCTTGATTTGCCAACAACAAACCTAAATCTGGTTGACGGTTGAGACCCCCCGTCAGCCCTTTAGTTGAGGGTTGAGGCCTCCGGGGCCTATTTCGCCTGCGGCGCGCTCTTGCTCCTCGTACCTTGAGCGCAATCCATAAGTAGGAGACGCTCACTGTCGCCATTCAGGCGCCTGATCTTTCAGCAAAGCGATGGCCTACCTGGTACGAGTTCAGATGCGCGCCCGGCAGAAGACGCTTGTGATGCCGCATGCAGTGGAATGCGCACAGAGAACGGACGGCAAGAGAAGGCAAGGGAAGGAAGAGAAACGGCTGGTGAAGCTCAGCTCACGGCGTAGTATTGCGGTCACTAAACCATCCACGGCAAAGAGTCACGGTGAATGCTAGCCGTCTTCCAGTCTTCCACACATCGCGTCGGGATCATGGGGATAAATTACGGACGTCCATCCACTGGGATGAGAGTACTGGAGAGATGAGGTGGAATCTGCTTGATTCAACAGCCGCCCAAAGGAGCGCCGCCTCAACACCGGGTCTCGGCTCTATCGAGCCATGCTAGCTCCAGGCATGTTGTGCGAGTATATGGGACAAAAGCGTCGAAAATGTCCCGAAAAGCGTGTCTCGAGTTTGTTGCAGCCCCACAGCTGGCGCGCGCTGCCAGGAAGCACCGCTCGCGTGTCGGCGGCACTCCCTGGCACCCAGGGAGTGCCGCGAACCGACCAGACCGAATGGGCTCGACGCCGCGCTCGCTGTGGGGCTGCAACAAAGTCGCCGCCGAGCGTGCCACCGACGGCGTCCGGGCGGCGGTGATGGAGTGTGAGACCTGAGGCTGCGGAGGTGACGCCTGAGGTACCGGCCCGTGCACAGCGACTCAGCCGGCGACCGCCACGGGCTCAGACGAGACTTGTCGACTCGTTACGGCTCAGCTTCACCGTGGTCATCGGGCGTCTGTCGACGTCAGGACCACCATACAGCTCGCGGGTTTGAGGTCGCAAGAGCCAAGATGGTGGCGTTTGGACATCCCAACCATCACACAAGACAGCCTGTAGGTGATGGCGGGACGGCGCAGTGTTTGTGGCACTCGGCAGTAGGCACCCGCGGCACGGCCCCGCTGAGTTGGCTCTCGCGGGCTGCGGAACCGGCCCCAGAAGGGGACGGTCCGGGCGAGTGTGGCAGCTCCTGCGCTAGTATGGGCATCCTCTATCACAACACTACTGATCCTGGTCATTAGAGCTGCCAGGGATAGCGTCAGGAGCCGGTAGGAGTCAAAACCTCTCATATTGAGACATCGTGTCCCATATACTCGCACAACGAGCCTCCAGCCGCAACCCCACCCGGCCGCCCGAGGGTGTTCCCGCAAGCAGAGAAGACTACTTTAATCCTGGGGGAAGAGCAACCGCTCGGGCTGCGGCTCGCTCGTCGGACGTCGCTCGTGCTGTGCTCAGCCTGGGCGGATCCCTCTCGGCTGTGGGTGTGTGGCCTGAGCTGTGGCTGTGCCGTATTTCTCCACCGCCGGACCCGCAACTCCTGGTCTCTCCGTATTCTTTCTCTTAGCGACGGACATCGTAGATCGTACCGTTGCGCTACCGTGCAGTACTCGCGACATTGATCATCTAGTTGATCATTCGGTGTCAGCTCGTTGGCTCGCGCAGCCACGGCGCGAGCGAGGCCAGCACGGCTTCGAAGCCTCCGCCTCCTGGGTCTGCACCGCCGCCGGGCGGCGCGGCACCGCGCACCAAGTCCGACAGCACTCGCGGCAACAGCGGGCGGCCGTTGACGCTGACCGCCTCGATGCGCACCTCTCGCACGCGGCCGCTCGCGCCGTCGAGCTGCAGCCGCAGCTCGAACCGGACCGTGAGTGGCAGCCCGGGGGCGCCGAGCGCCGCCGCCGCGCCGAGCCGCGCCGGCAGGCGGCAGCGGAGCAGCACGTCGCCGTCGGCGCTCAGAGCGACGCGGACGGCGAGCGGCGCCTCGGCGTCGCCGCTCACGGCCATTCCGCCCTGCGCGATTGCGCCAGCGTAGAGGCGGCGCGCTGCGGCGAGCGCGCGGGCGAGCGACGGGCGGCCGGAGAGGAGTCGCTCGCCGAGGAGGCCGGTGAGGCGCACCTTCGGTCGGGCGGGGCTGGGGCTGGGGGCCGGGGGGCGTCGAGAGAGTGCCTCGTGGCCCTCCCCTTCCCCGCCGCACCTCCTCCTCGCAGAGGGAGGCCAGGTCGAGCGGCGCGGTGAGGGCGGCGGGGACCTGCTGGTGCAGCGACCGCAGCAGCGAGAGGGCGGTCGTCGCGAACGCGGGCGGGATCGGCGTCGTCGACGACGCGCTCAGGGGCGAGGAGGAGGAGGAGGAGGAGGAGGAGGAAGAGGCCGCCGGCTGCAGCGGCGCCAGCGCGCCCTCTGTGACGGAGACGAGCGTCGCGCCGAGCAGGGGCAGAGTGCCGCCTTTGAGTCGGCCGAGCAGCTCCTATGCCACCAGAGAAGCGCTGTCTATGTCTCCGGGTGGCGTTGGGCTCGCCCCAGCCAGGCATGGAGGAGGCGCCTGCGGCAGCGCCTCGCGATTGTTGACCCGCAAGCCGCGCAGCGTGTGAGCGACGATCACCGGGGCCGCGCCACCGCCGCCGTCCGCAAACTCAAACTCGGAGCGGGCGGCGACGCTGAAGAGGGGCGTGCCAGCCGTTGGGCCGGCGGACGGCGCGAGCACGTACCTCCAGAGCGCAGCCACGCCGCCGCCCGCTCCGTCGCCGCCTCCTCCGGCGCCGCCTCCTGCCGCCAGCTCCTCCGCCGCCCCGCCGGTGCCACTCGCTCGGACTGTCGGGCCGGCGACCCCTGAAGGGACAGGCGCAGGGCTGTGCTACGGGGCTGCGGTACAGGGGTCGAGGGGTCGAGCGGCGTCTCTCCAGGCGGTGAGTCGGAGGGTTGAGGCGTGCACAGGGGGGGGGGGGGGGGGCAGCACCGCGGTGCTCGAGCTGGAAGTCGAAGGCGTGGGAGAGGAGGGGGGAGAGGGCGGCGGCGGCGTGGGCGGCCCGCGCGGAGCCGAGCAGCTGCAGGTACGGCCCCCTGCCTCGCAGCAGCGGCGCTGCTGCGGCGGCGAGGAGCTCGAGGTCGGGGGCATACCGGCCGGCGTCAGGCGCCGTGTTCTCGGCGAGAAGCGCGCGCAGCTCCGCCTCGACGGCGGCGGCGGCGAGGTGCAGCTCCTAGAGCCACGACACGGCGCCTGACATGAAGCGCGCTCTGCTGCCGGGCGGTGGTGCGGCGAGACAGGCGGCGAGGCGGGCGTGGGTGGCGAGACGGGCGGCGGGCGTGGTTGCTCGACGACACGCAAGGACCCCCGAGGTCTACCTTGCCTGCACCTGGGGCTCGATGCTCGGCTCCATCTCGGCTCCATCTCGGCTCCATCTCGCGCCTCGTAAGCGGCCCACTCCTCCGAGCCCGGCAGAGGAGGGAAGGGCTCCTCTGCGCCGGACGCCTCTGCGCCCTCCCCGCCCTCGCCCCCGCCCTCGGCCGGCGGCGGCGCGGCCGGCGGCGGCGGCGCCTCCGCGCCAACCGCCGCGAGAAGCTCGGCTGCTGTGGCAAACGCCTCTGCCGGCGAGGCGGGCGAGGAGCGGCGGTAGAGGCGAAGCCACTCGGCAAGCGTCGACGAGGGCAGTCGGCGGCCGTTGAGTCGGAGGTTGGAGAGCTCGTGCCGGCAGAGGCGGCCGTCGGCGGCGAGCGTGTAGGTGGAGATGCCGGAGAGCGCGGCGGCGGGGAGTGCGGCGGATATGCCGGTGGACGCGGGAGTGAGAGGGGCGCTCCATCGAACGGAGACGGCGTCGGGGCCGATCGAGTAGTCGCACTGCAACTCACCGGCACGCAGACCGGCGACGTCGAGGAGGGGCGACGTGTTGAGCGCCGCGACCGCCTTGGGGCGGGAGAGCGGGACGGTGAGTGGGTGGGCGGGCCGAGGGAGGGGAAGGTGGGCGCACACACCTCGAAAAGAGAGAGATAGGCCTCGCGGCCCCGGGCGAGGTCTACGCCTGCAGTTCGGTCGGACAGAGGGCTGAAGCGAGGTAGACGGGAGACGGGAGGCAGAGCGGGCGGATGCCGAGGTCAGACACGAGCGAAATGTCGTCGGAAAAGGCAACCTCCGGCGGTGAGCGCGTAAAAGCCGCCGGAGCGAAGCCGCGCAGCCGCCCGATATTGCGGTGAGCGGCTTGTGCCCGGGAAAATGCAGCGTCCGACAGGAAGGAAGTTGGTAGCGCAGCAGCAGAGCCCACGTCCGCGCGAGGAGAAATCAGAGCCAGCGAGACCCAGGCGAAAAGCAGCATGGCAGAAGGGGGCCGACACGACAAAGAAAAAGCGGGCAGAGCGGACGAGTTCGCCCATCTCTGGGGTGGGTGTCAGAACAGTCGTCCTTGCGCGAGGAGAGCTCGATAAACTCGAGGGGCCAAAATACGCCGGAGGGCGGAGTTGCGCCGAGAGGCGGGAGAAGCCGCGAGAGCAAGGGATCGGAGGGCGGCGGCGGCGTCGCAGGACGAGGCAGAGCCAGAGGAGAGCGAAGGGACAGAGGATGAAGCGACAGGAGAGAGAACGATGAGAGTGGGGCAACCGCGGGCACGAAGGTTGCAGCGAGAATCGGCGAGCGACGGCTAGCAACACACTCCTCTGTGGTGGCGGCGTGCCGTCCTCCCATCAGGAGCCTTCGCCAGGTCGTGTGAAGAGCACACATGATGTAGTGAGTGAGTGGTCCCGGGCCCTGTGGGGAACTAAGTCGGCGCAAGTTAGTCTGTGAGCTGGACGAGGGCTAGTGGTGCGCCGAGGCGGGTCAAGTGGTGAAGTGCTCCCGGGAGTCGTGGTCGGAGGCCGGGACACTACGCGCACTAACTTAGTGCGCGGAAGTGAGTGCCTCCGGCCGGCCGCGAGGGGAGTGGTCCGGCGGGCCGCTCGTAGTGCCCTTCGCCGGCGGAGGGAGGCGGCTCGGCTACTACGCGCACTAACTTAGTGCGCGGAAGTGAGTGCCTCCGGCCGGCGAAAGAGTAGAGACATGCACAAGCTCACTTCTCCATCGCCAGCCCGACGCGCTCATACAGGTTGACCCATATAATCTCTCCTACTAGTTACCGCTGTCACTGTCTCAGGCCCGCTCACAACACTAATTTCCCCGCCGATGGTGGATCCCCGCGCTGGTCAGCCGATGAGGCCGCCTGTGCCTCGCCCAGTTCCCCCTGCTTCTTGAGGCTACTCCTCCTCTCGAGGACCGGCCTGCCCATGCTGCTCCCCAGAGCCAGCGCCCGGCTCGGCATTGGCGGATGTTGAGGCTGAGACCTCTGCGAGCCTAGACCCCATGACACAGTTCATCCCACCATCGGCACCGTATTCGCCCACAGAGAGAGACGCGAGGGCCCAAGAGGCCCGTGGGCTCGCCTGCAGAGCGTCTCTCTCTTGCCATTCTGCTTGTCTGTTTTGTGGCCTCTTCTCTCGTCTGTCGGTGTTTTGTTGGGGTTGGAAGGGGTTGGCACGGGGGTGGAAGGCCACCTCCAGAAGCAACAGCAACGTGTTCGAGCGTCAACCATATTCGTCGTCGGGAAGTGGTTCCGATACGTGATTCTGGTAGGCTGGAACACGCTGACGGTAAAGAGGCCGCAACGCATGGGCTTAGCGGATCTCTCAAGGAGATCGCTACAGCACGGAGCAGCGTCAAGGGAGCTGGCAGAGGTTGGAGCGACTGCGATGTGGAGGCAGAGCCAATACTTGCTCAAGTTAGTCTTGACGCTGCGGACGACAGGATTTGCTGGGGCGGCATCACGCCGCCTGGCATGTCTCGGCGCGGCGCCGAGGCACAGAGCCGCTGCGATGCAGCGGCGGCAAGGCACGGCGGCGAAAGCACCATCGCCGGGCAGTCTCGGGGTGGCGTGGAGGGCCACTCGAGCTCTGCCGGCGGGGCGGCCGCCGCTCACGGGCACGCGACGCGAGGAGGCGTCGCCGAGGGCGTCGAGGAGGCGCTCGACGAGGCGCGGCCGCGGGCCGGGTCCTCTCGGAGCCGCGGAGGCGCCGCTGCAGGCGGCGGCGGCGAGAGCGGTTCAGAGGATGAGGGTTCAGAGGACGAGGGTTCAGAGGACGAGGGTTCAGAGGACGAGGGTTCAGAGGACGAGGGGTCAGAGGACGAGGGTTCAGAGGACGAGGGTTCAGAGGACGAGGGTTCAGAGGACGAGGGTTCAGAGGACGAGGGTTCAGAGGACGAGGGTTCAGAGGACGAGGGTTCAGAGGACGAGGGTTCAGAGGACGAGGAGGTCAGCAGGCAGAGCGGCTGTGGCGGTGAGGGCCATGCGGGCTCTGCTGCCGGCTCGCTCGCCTCTCTCGAGGATGCGACGGCCGGGACAGCCGTCGCTGCAGCCGGCGGCACCGCGCCGCCTGACGAGCCGCGTCCGTGGACAGCGGCGAGCACCCGCTGCTGGGCGAGAGCAGCGGCTCAAGTCGGCGTCGATGGCGCCGTCGCCGCAAAGCGTGATCGAGATCGCTTTGGCGGAGGCGCGAGCGACGCGGTGCACGACGAGAGGGCGGGCCTCGTCTCGGTGGGCGGCGGCGGGCCGCCTGGCATGTCTCGGCTCGGCGCCGAGGCACAGAGCCGCTGCGAGGCAGCGGCGGCAACGCGCGGCGGCGGAGGCACCATCGACGGGCAGTCTCGGGGTGGCGTGGAGGGCCACTCGAGCTCTGCCGGCGGTGCGGTCGCCACGAACGGGCACGCGACGCGAGGAGGCGTCGCCGAGGGCGTCGACGAGGCGCTCGACGAGGCGCGGCCGCGGGCCGGGTCCTCTCGGAGCCGCGGAGGCGCCGCTGCAGGCGGCGGCGGCGAGAGCGAAGTCAGCAGGCAGAGCGGCTGTGGCGGTGAGGGCCATGCGGGCTCTGCTGCCGGCTCGCTCGCCTCTCTCGAGGACGCGACGGCCGGGACAGCCGTCGCTGCAGCCGGCGGCACCGCGCCGCCTGACGAGCCGCGTCCGTGGACAGCGGCGAGCACCCGCTGCTGGGCGAGGCGCGGCGACGAAAGCACCATCGCCGGGCAGTCTCGGGGTGGCGTGGAGGGCCACTCGAGCTCTGCCGGCGGTGCGGTCGCCACGCACGGGCACGCGACGCGAGGAGGCGTCGCCGAGGGCGTCGACGAGGCGCTCGACGAGGCGCGGCCGCGGGCCGGGTCCTCTCGGAGCCGCGGAGGCGCCGCTGCAGGCGGCGGCGGCGAGAGCGAGGTCAGCAGGCAGAGCGGCTGTGGCGGTGAGGGCCATGCGGGCTCTGCTGCCGGCTCGCTCGCCTCTCTCGAGGACGCGACGGCCGGGACAGCCGTCGCTGCAGCCGGCGGCACCGCGCCGCCTGACGAGCCGCGTCCGTGGACAGCGGCGAGCACCCGCTGCTGGGCGCGGTCAGCGGCATGGATGAGGCGACAGCCCTATCGCCGGGCAGTTCCTGGATGGGGGTCAACCGCACTGGAGCTTGGCCGGTGGCGCAGTCGCAGTGCAAGGACCTACGATGGTGATGGTCGCGGCCGTAGAACACGTCGCGCTTCTACTGAGCTATTGGAGGGGCACTCGACACAAGGGTGGGCCCTCGCCTCGAGGTGGAGGTCGCGGCCGATTCACGCGCGAGACGGTGGATCGACCTCGACAGGATTGGCGATGGGGTTGTGCTGTCTTCCTCCTCCTCCGCCGTGTGCCGGGGAGTCGATCAGGCAGTTCACTTTGGGGGCTACGGGTATCCCCCCTGGCTATACTTTGAGATTAGGCATCAAAAGTGGTTCACAGTGGAGGCGGTCGCCGTCCTACAGGGAGTCGGCCGGCGCGAAGCGACGACCGCCGAGCTTTAGGTCGCCGACATCCAGCCGGAGCTGCGAGTCCACACGGAAGCCTCTAGGGCGAATTCACTGGGACAGGATTTCGCAGAGACTACCTCATTTGCTGCTCGCCCCATGAAGGGGGGTTTGTGTGGGAAGCCAAGGGAGGTTAATGGCTTCCCACATTTGTGATGGGTCGAAATCGGCCCGCCGCATTGATGGTCGAATCGGTGTAACGAATCGAGAGAGAGAGACGCGAGGGCCCAAGAGGCCCGTGGGCTCGCCTGCAGAGCGTCTCTCTCTTGCCATTCTGCTTGTCTGTTTTGTGGCCTCTTCTCTCGTCTGTCGGTGTTTTGTCCCACCCTGAGCATTGTGCTCTTCCCGCCCTGGGTTGTGCTGTCTTCCTCCTCCTCCGCCGTGTGCCGGGGAGTCGATCAGGCAGTTCACTTTGGGGGCTACGGGTATCCCCCCTGGCTATACTTTGAGATTAGGCATCAAAAGTGGTTCACAGTGGAGGCGGTCGCCGTCCTAGCCCACAGCACGCAATGATACTCATATAGGTCTAGTGCACACATCAGCTCAGCGATACCAATATCTCCAGCGTCCTTCATCTTGGCTGCTGCTTGGGAGCCGACGCTTGCAAGTGAGTGTCAGAGTGTAGGAACTCGGTGGGAGCATCCGTCATCACTTCACACTCGCTCGCAAAAGTGAAATCGATTCGCTGTGTCCGGACAGTGGGTGAGTGCCTCCCGCCCACCCCGCGCACTAAGATAGTGCGCGTAGTGAGTGGGCCGCCGGCGAGCGGGCTAGTGGGTGAGTGCCTCCCGCCACCCCGCGCACTAAGTTGGTGCGCGTAGTGAGTGGGCCGCCGGCGAGCGGGCTAGTGGGTGAGTGCCTCCCGCCACCCCGCGCACTAAGTTGGTGCGCGTAGTGAGTGGGCCGCCGGCGAGCGGGCTAGTGGGTGAGTGCCTCCCGCCACCCCGCGCACTAAGATAGTGCGCGTAGTGAGTGGGCCGCCGGCGAGCGGGCTAGTGGGTGAGTGCCTCCCGCCACCCTGCGCACTAAGATAGTGCGCGTAGTGAGTGGGCCGCCGGCGAGCGGGCTAGTGGGTGAGTGCCTCCCGCCACCCTGCGCACTAAGATAGTGCGCGTAGTGAGTGGGCCGCCGGCGAGCGGGCTAGTGGGTGAGTGCCTCCCGCCCACCCCGCGCACTAAGATAGTGCGCGTAGTGGGTGGGCCGCCTTCTAGTGGTCGGCGAGGCCGTGGCCAGTGCCCCGGCCCTGCGGCGCCGCCTAGTGAGTGAGTGCTCGCCGACCCTCCCCACACTAAGTCGTCATGTGTGCTGTGTTTTTTAGTTGGCGAAGGCTCCTGCTCCCATCCCTCCCCTGCATCTCTCTTTTCTTTCTTTCTTTTTCGCCCATCTCTCCTGGAGATGCCAGCTCTATTTATTTACTCCGAGCAAAAGGGACGTCCGCCGCAATTCGGACAATGCTCTTTCCCACGCCCGCCACATGACGCCCACCGCCGCCGCGTCGGTCGGCGCGCGCCGACGCCGACCATCACCACCGACCGACGGCTCGCACGGCCGTGCGGTGAGCAAAAATTTGGGTCGCTGCGCGCCTGCCGGATGCTCTGCGACGTCTGGACGCTCGCCAGAAACGCCAGGAAGCTTGCCTTCCACCCCTGGGCCCGAGGGCGAACGGCAGTGGTCGGCAGCCTCTGCGACGCTCCGATCGGCTCCTCGACCTCATCGCCTGCGACGAGCCAGCATGGCTCGTCGCTCGACGGCAGCCTGCCCAGTATGCTCTTGGCATTCTGTACAGCCTGAGGAGCGGGACGCCGTGTTGCGCGCCTACACACCCGCTCGGTTCGGGCCACCCGCAGTCAGGCACGCGCTTTACGAGCTCGGCACCGACGGTTACTACGCGTGCCCAACTCGGAGGATCGCCTCGGCTGTGGCGTCTCGCCTGCCGGGCAGCGTTTTCCGCTATGTTTTCGCGGCAGCGATCGTCGACATTGACACGCGCCGAATGCCTGACTGGGCTCGCACGCTCCTGTTTCCTCTGAGGGAACGGCTGGCGGACCCGTTGCTCGGCGCTTACCACGGCTCGGACTCTGAGTTGTTGTGGAGCGACCCGTACACGCTCCTCGACGCCGAGGAGAGCGCCCTTCGCCGCCGGATGCTGCAGCACTGGCTCAGCTTCGTCAAGACAGGCCGTCCGATGGAGAGTTGGCCTGCCTTTGGATCGACCGAGTCGTTCATCAAGCTCGACACGAGCGGCGACCGCGTCGGCGAGCATTGGCACCGCGCAAGCTGTGAGATCTTACAGCGCTTTCGCTTTGTATGGGACCCGGGATGATGGTCGATGCTTGAGATGGCAATGGCCGATGCGGATGGTTGTGGCACGCATCTGCGCCACTCGGTCTTCAGTCTGTTTACACATTGCAGTAACTTCTCGAGCGAGTCTGCGTGTCTCGTCGATGTATCGTACACGGTATCGGCACAGAGGTGTGTGCGGATGAGAGCGCGATGATTTGTGTGACACCTTGTCGACATGGTAGATGTGTTCGACACGGTTTTATGTCGTCGTGTGTGTGTGTATGGCTCATGTGGATGTGCAGTGCTTTTTCTGCTCTTACATGTATACTTCGAGAGACAACACGCACAACCGCCGATCCCGCACCCTCACACAAGTGTAACCCACCCACGTAATACCGTATTATATGCGAAGTATGCCGCGCTGCCTGCCGCCTTGGGGGGGGGCGACCCTCTCCTACCCAAAGCAGCCAGCCGCGGCGAGTGGGCGGAACTCGTACGACCGCACACGTTCATCCTCGCGCACGGGCCGTGAGAGGTCGATCCGCCACAGGAGCAGACCGCTCTAAAAGGAGCTCACGGCGGGGCGTTGTGGGCACCGGCGAGCAGGTCGGTGGCGCTGCTGATCCGCACCGTCGAGCGCGGCGCGTCCGAAGTGAGCGGCGGGACGTCGAGGCCGTCCTTATTCCCGTGGCTGCACATCACGATGGAGCGGAGCTCGCAGTTGCCGGCGAGGCGCTGCAGCGAGTCCTGGTCGTCCTTGTGAAGATTCCCGCCGAACTGCGTAAAGATGTGGCGCAGGAAGGACGAGTGCGTCACGACGGCGATGCACTTCTCGGGTCGCTTGTTGAGCCACTGCAGGAACGCGATGCCGCGCTCGCAGCAGTGCTCGTCGCTCTCGCGCGCGTCCTCCGTGTAGAAGTGGTCGTCGTCATACGGCACCTCGGACCAGTCAAAGGACGGGAACTCGGGCATGATTTTCGAGACCGGGCGCCTGCCGTCGCACACGTACTGGCCCCACCGCTCGCGGCACTCCTCGCGCACGAGGATGCGCGGCGCCGGCACCTTCTCGCCGCGGAGCTTCTCCTCGGACCCGTCGGGCGCGTCGAGCGTTGAGAGGAAGCCGGGCTTGCCCGGCTGCCGGCCCGGCCCGAAGATATGGAAGGCGGTCTCGCACGTCCTCGTCAGCGGAGACACCACCACCAGGTCGAAGGCGGTGAAGGAGCGGCCGCCGCTTGGGCGGCTCGCGAGGTGCTGCTTGAGCTTCTGCGCCTGTTAGGGTGAGGGCGGCGTCGGATTTGTGGCGGCAATGCGGAGCGAGCGGCGACGGTGTGCCTGCTGCACTCCGACGTCAGTGAGGCGGGCGTCCCACAGCGGGTGGTCCCTCGCAGGATTGTCACCGCGAGTGAGCACGTCATTCGAGCCGCTGCTCGCCGTCGCCGCGTTGTGCTCGCCCTCGGCGTGGCGAATAAAGTGAACCTTTTTGGTGCGCTCGGCGAGGAACAGCGAAAACCCAGAGTCCGGCGGGCCGAGGGAGTACTCGAAGTTGTCGCCAATCATGCCACACCCGGGATGAAGGTGCGAGGCTGCTACAAACTTCGCACGCGTCGCAGAAAAATGCAAGCGGCGTGGCCGCGAGGTGGCATGAAGGTTGCAGCGAGAATCGGCGAGAGACTGCGAAGAGAGATAGGAAGAGGCAGACTCCCTAGGGTGGGCGACGGATAGCGCACCACACACCTCTCCTTAAAATCCCTGTGTGGTGGCGGCGTGCCGTCCTCCCATCCCTCCCTTGGGTTGTCTGTTTTCTTTCTTTCTTTTTTTAGCGGCGTGGCGTGGAGCGGTTGAGCATCCCTCCGGGGGCTCCTCTGCGCCGGGGAGGCGTTGTTGGAGGCTAGGACGCAAGCGTCCGTCGCCTTTTTCAAACTCGGGCCCCACTCCGCTACGGCAGCCTACGCTCCGACCCGAATTTGGAGGGCCATGAAATTTAAGGTGTTGCTGCGCAAAAGGGGCGGGGCGCGGGCGGGCGCGGCGGGCGTCGAGAGTTCTTTTATGAGACCCAGACCTTTCGATGGTTCACGTGCTTTCTATGTCTATCTATCATGCTTCATGACACGACACGCGGTGTGGTGGAGCTAGGGTGCCCACAGGGCCCCAAAAAAGAAAGTAAAAAAGAAATGGGCGAACCTCGATCGCAGCACTTCGTGTTGGAGAGTCGAGAAATTGAGAGTGTGACTAGGAGGGAGGGACGCTGGGGATTCTCAAAGGTATACCCTTGGAATGGCCGGATCCAGCCTTGAAAGTACGAGATCGCGCGCGCTTCGCGCGCTGCACCGCCTGTTCTCCGCGGCTGTGTGACGACGCGTGCCGTGTGCCAGCAGACTTGGGCGCGCGCGGCGCGACGGCGCCCGCGAGGGAAGGCGCGGGTGCAGCGGCCACCGGCGGTCGTACCGCTCGCCGGCCAGCGCAGCAGCGGCCAGCGCAGCGGCCGCCGGCGCAGCAGCCAGAGCAGCCGGTGCGCGCCTTGCGAGGCGAGTACTGCCGCCCGGCCGCCTCGAGGCGGCCGGGCGGCAGTACTCGTTCGAACTTTGCGAGCCGTGCGCGCGCCAAGGCGCGCGCGGCGCGCGCCCGCCCGGCTGCCAGTAGGAGGCGGCGCAATATGGCCTATAGTACAGCCCTTAGGAGGAGGAAGAGGCTGGCTGGCAGTGCTGTATGCCGCCGGGGGCAGTTTTTGGGTGCTGTCCCCATCCCAGGGGGCTGCAGAAGGCGTCCGCAACCGGGACAACCCGCCCCCCAAGCCGAGGCCGGTCGAAGCCCACTTGAGTGCAGGAGCCATGAGGAGTCCTCTTGGTGCTCCTGGCGGCCGTTCAAAGGTCGGGCGCGCGCGCCGATGGGGGGTGGGTGTGTCTTGCTTGCTCCACACCGAGCGCCACCGGTCCGGACCGGTGCTCCCACCGAGGGTCGGCTTGCACAAGGTCTGAGCCGCGGGCGCTCGGCGCCAAGAGGCCAAGTGCAGTGTCACGCTCGCACGCGAAGGGGACACAATGGGGAACCCTCGTTTCCTAGTCACTCGGTCCCCCAACGGAAGAGGCCTCTCTCCTATTGAAACATTCCAACATCAGATTTGCCTTGTGCGTCCCTTTTTGAGCCGGAAAGCTATTTTCTTTTGGGTCCTGTGGGCACCCTAGTGGAGCTGGTGGAGCTGTCAGCTGATCGATCCAAGCGGGTGGGGAGTGGGGGGCATGGCTGGGCATGCAGGTCCGCCAGTCGGCCCGGCCTCTGACGTGGTGCTGCCGCTGCATTCGCTGAAGAAGAGAGGTCCGACTTGACAATTGGAGGCACTGGAGGCGAGGCGAAGGGAGGTTGGGCCGGGCCGTGAGGGGCTGATGGCGCTGGCCAGCGCGGGGTGTGAGATGCCGTCGTCGTCGTATACTGCTGGCCCTCGCCCTCAGTTGCCAGGGCTGTGGGCTGCAGAATTGGCGTCTGTGGCGTCTACGCAGGCTCTGCAGCGTGATGGCAGGCAGGACTGCGAGGCCAGCGGCAGCGGAAGGAGAGGCTGGGCACGAGCCAGGAACAGGCTGGCCAGGTCCGCAGGTGGCTGCGCTCGGGCGAGGCGCGCGCGCATGGCGGGCCGAGCAGGCTCGGCATATATGGTGAACCCCCCATGTCACGATGGCGGTCCCACTTTTCCGCGATCATTTCGTCCGTCCAATCGATAGAAGCGCCGGATCGCCCACTTTCTTAGCGTTTGCCAAACTTGCCCCGACGTTCTTCTGCTCAATTCCTTTGCACGGTATTCGGATTTTCGCTATTTGCTCGTGTGGGTGTGATTCCGGGATTAGTCAATGGTACCGCGTCGGCGACGCGGGCGCCTTGCGGGCAGAGCCCTGAGCCACCCTTATGTCTTGCGCGGTCAAAAATCCTTTTACCGAAATCCCTCGTTTGGGTTTGTCCGTTTTCTTTCTTTCTTTCTTTCTTTCTTTCTTTCTGGAAAGGTCAACTTTGTCTTATACGAGAGGGGAATCCATGGGACCCTGTCGTGTGGGTGAACCCTGCCTGCCCAGCCCCTCTCTCTCTTCCCCTCCGTGTCGCGATGCGCTCCCCACTCGCCACTCCCGTTCCCCTGTGTCCCTGTACCCTGATCGTCCTTCCAAAATCCTGCTCGTGCAGGTGGGGACCCGCTGTCCTCGTCCCATCCCTCCTTTGTTTTGTCAGTTTTCTTTCTTTCTTTCTGGAAAGGTCACCACCTGTCCCAAATGATGGTGCGAGTGTTGGAGTTGTCTGCAGTCTGGAAAGGTCACCTGTCCCACCCAAATAAAAAATTAAAACGGTCAAACTCTGAGTCACGAGATGTGGGATTTTTAGGGGCATGTGTCCCCGCCCTGCACCGATCTTGGTGTGAGGGATCTCATGTCCCAAATGATGTGTGAGTGTTAGAGTTATCTGGAAAGGTCACCACCTGTCCCAATTTCTGTCCCAAATGATGTGTGAGTGTTTTAGATTTGTCTGGAAAACGGTCACCACCTGTCCTAAATGATGTGTGTTGTCTGGTATTTTGTCTATTGGGCCCGCTAAAACGCATTTCAACACCCACAGCCTCGAGCACCCAGCCAGACACCTCTGTTCACACCTTGTAAAACACCTTTGCTAAGGTTTTGAAAATCTCTATCTCTGCATGTGCATGTGCATGCACATGATAACATCAACTCAAGTGTACATTTTCAAGCAACCACGAAAAACCGCCGACCGGCTCCCGCCTCGGCTCACGAAAGCACGCTCTTGGCAAAAGCCTTCAGCCCGGTGACCTTTGCATTCACGTTGAAGGGCCCCGGGCCCGAGGCGAACGCTACTTTGCTCGTCGCCACCTGACGGGGAGAAGGAGTTTCTGCACCATGGACGGGATGGAGGTGGCTGGGGCAAGTGGGGTTCGGGCAAGCGGGAGCAGACCTCGATGACGTAGGCTCTGAACGGCCGCGCCTCGTAGGCGCGCTCGAGCTCGTTCGACATGCTGTCGAGAATCATGGCCACCTCGCCGCCCACCTGCGTGGCGTGGCGCGCTGAGACTTGGGGCAGGGTGCGCTGCGCGGTGTGCCAGGGAAGGGACAGCCTTCGCTTCGAGCAACGCCTTTGCCAGCCCCGCGGCGTGCGCCCGCTCCTCTTCCGAGGAGTGCACCTTGATCTCCTCCTTGATTTGCACAGGCGGCGGCAATGGCGGCGTGTCAAACTCGCCCACGGCATGCGCCTCCAGGACGTACACGTGCAGCACGGGGAGCCCGTAAGCCGCATTCGTCAGATCGACACCTGGGGGTCGGGATTCCGTTTAAGCCAGAGCGGAGTGTGAATGCTGCTGCCCTACGTGTCTGGGAAGTCGCCGGCTCACCCGCAAACGTGCGCCAGATGGGGCAGGTGAGGGAATCAAAGAGGACAGCGACGTGCGCCGCCCCGTTTGCTGCACCGAGCGCCTTGACCTCGGCCAGCAGGGACGTAGGCTTCCCCGCGAGCGTGAGAGCAGGCCCATCCGGGGCGACGCTCCCGTTGGCTGGAGCTTTGGATGTGAAGCTTTTGAGGTTATATGGCCGCATCTTCTGGTAGAGTCGCCAGTCTTTGCCCTCGACATCCTTCCATGCCTTCTCCTCCATCTCGGCGACTTCCGGCTGCGTGCAGTCCTTGGCCGGGTCACCGCCCGCGGTGAACGCCATCATCCTTCGAAACATGGGCGTCATTATTGTGCTCATAACGGGAAGCTTCATCGGCGACTCGCGCTCGTTGATGTAGATGTAGAGCACGGCTGCTGCACCAGCGCCGACGACGAGAGCCCGGATCATGCTTGAGGGCGGTGGCGAGGGATCCCCGCTAGCGACGGCAAAAGAAAAAGACTATGGGAGACAGGGTCCACACCTGTCGGCTAACACCACACTTCTCCCCTAAAATCCCTGTGTGGTGGCGGCGTACCGTCCTCCCATCCCTCCCTTGGGTTCTCTGTTTTCTTTCTTTCTTTTTTCCACACCTGCACGAACAGGATTTTGGAAGGACGATCAGGGGCACAGGTGGGGCTCTCCTGCTCCTGACAAGGGACACGACAGGCTCGCAGCGCGGTGCACGGTGGAATCCCAACTCCACTGGCGGTCTCATCTCAGTCTGGCGACCTTCCTCCGGCTTCTCACCGGCAGTCTCTCACTACCACGGGCACACTGACACAGGGGTGGCAGGGGCGGCGGCATGAGTCTCCCACATACTATGCGGGCCTCACTAGAGGTGCGGCCTGCGCGTGTCCTCGCCCTTGGGAAGGTCTTGAGGGGGGAGGGGAAGGGGCTGTGTGTCTGTGCATGCATGCATGCATGTGTGTGTGTGTGTGTGTGTGTGTGTGTGTGTGTGTGTGTGTGTGTGTGTGTGTGTGTGTGTGTGTGTGTGTGTGTGTGTGTGTGTGTGTGTGTGTGTGTGTGTGTGTGTGTGTGTGTGCGAGCCGCCCTGAACGCCACGAGCGCGCCGCGAGCGCCGTAGCGCCGGCGAGCGCCGTCGGCAGCGCGCGACCGCCACCCAAAAGTGGAGGTACATCAGGAGCCGCAGCCGGCCTGCTCTATCAACCGACAGCGAGGCTCGCAAATTAAGGTGCTCTCTCTTTTTTCTCAGTCCGCCCGGCTCCAAGTGCGGAGCGTCTACGCCTAGAAGACGAGGCGCGCAAGCAAGCACAAGCCGGGGCGCAACAGCAGCAGCAGCAGCAGCAGCAGCCCGTTGTAACAAAGCCTCTGCGCCCGCGCCGCAGAGCGGCCCGCAGCCCCGAGCGCCGAGAGCGAAGCGCGAAGGTCGAGCACCGGACCCCGATCCGGCCCGCCTGGTGGCGGTTCGCGTGTCGGTCCCGCCTACGTACCGCGTGTCCCGCGCCCTCATGAGGTGAGCTCAGCGTAGCTCGATTATCCCACACTCATTTATTTTTTATTTATGTATATGCTATATAGCGGCCCTCTTCCTGCATCTGCACATGTACATGTGCAGTCTGTTGCGGGCATTAAGAAAGCGTCCCATTAAGAAACCCTACCAAGCAATTTCCGCGAAAATCTAAGAAACCACGGCGCGCCGCAGGCGCGGCCCCAAGAAAGGGCCCACACACGAGTGTGAACAGGAGCCCCGCTCAAATTTTCTCTTCGCCTGCGGCGCGCGCACTTGTCATTTTGCCCAAGTCTGCGGTGTTCTGGGCGGTGTGGATGGAGGTGTGTGCGTCTTCCTGTCATCCCAAGACTGCTGACTGGCGCATCGGTCCAGCGCTTCCTTATTGTCATTTTACCTAAAAATTCCTAGATCCCGGCTGACCTGGGGTGCCGGCCGAAGCTAAGAAACCACGGCGTGGGGTGGGTGGGGTGGGTGGAAAGGCTTAGAAACGGCGGCGTGCCGCGGGATCCTGTTTTCTTAATGCCCGCAACAGACTGTACATGTTGACTATCACCTCTTAAATATAACAACGTACTCGACTCTCCAGCACTCCGGCGGCTCAAGCGGGAGGGAGCGGAGACAGTGGGCAGCGCGCGAAGTGGGTGAGACTGATAATGCTCCTTCGACTTAGGGAGCGGTTCAGCTGCTGGGCGGGCTTCAGGGTGGTGCTCACGCGAAAAGGAATCGACGCGATGCACAAAGCATACAAGAAGAGGAGAAAGAAGAGGACGGACACCGGTGATGACAAAACAGAAACTAGCGCAGACGAGAGCAGGGCAGACCCGGGGACGGGGGAGCCGGAGCAGATGGCATCGGCCGCCGAGGGAAGGTTGGGAAGAGGCACGAGGAGGGCGGCGACCTCAACCGACTAATGGAGGACCCGTCGCCAGACGAGACGCAGGGCAGACGACGGGGAGGCGGAGCAAACGCGCAGGGCGAGACGAGGGAGGGAGCAGGACTTTGCGGAGATTAGCAGGAGGATGTACGAAGAGATTAGGAGCAGCAGGAACCCGACGGGGACCATGTGGAAGACGGCTAGTGCTACCACGTACCACTCTCCCCCATATCGCGCATGGCATCGGGGGGACACGACCCCGGCTAGTCGCCGACCACACCCACAAAGAACCCTTGCACAAAGATCGCAAGGGCGGGGACCTGTTCCTTTTTACCCCCATCTCACAGTAGAGGTGTCCGTTTTTATTTATTTATTTCCAGCACTCCGGACGCGTCGACTCAGTTCAGATCATTTGCGGGGCCGCTGGCGCCGGTGCAAGGCCTCCGCCCGCTGCTCCTCCGCCAAGGCTAGCGCGCTCGCCAAGTCCATCCCCTCCTCCTCCTCCTCCGACCCGCTCTCCCCACCACGCCCAGCCACGACCACCGCGCCCCGCTCCTCCGGCCTCCGCCCAAGCTCCTCAATCTCGTCAAAGGAGCGGAGGAAGAAGAGCGTGTGGAACTGTACGGAGCCCGGCCCGAACCGCTGCAGCAGACGCGGCGCCTACCGACGGCTCCAGCGGAACTGTGCGGGAGAGGAGCATGAGGCCGTGGCTGTGAGAGGCGCCACGCCTCCGCCGCCGCCTCCCCTGGCGGCGAAGACTGCGCGACCGGCGACCAGACCTTGCCCACGTACTGCACCGCCCCCGCCACACCCTGCGCGCTCACGCGCACGCGCTTTCGAGCCCCCCCCCCTCCCTCCCCCGCCTCGGTCGGCGCAGCCTCGGGCAGCGCCGCCAGCTCCGCCATCCAGCCCGGCACGCTCCGCCAGCGCGCGTCGCGGCGGGCCGCCTATGCAGCGGCTCTCAAGCGTGGGGAGGCACGCCTCGCGCACTGCCGCCGCCGGGGGGGCTCGACTCGCCGGGCAGGTGGCGCCGGCGCAAGCCGCCGGGGCCGGCAGGCGCATGCACGGGAAGAGCGGGGCCGGCGGCCTTCGGTGGCGGGCGGGGAGGAGGAGGCGAGGTGGCGTGGGAGGGCAGTGACTCGCCCACCACCCAAACATGAGCGTCAGCCGGCCTCCCTCCTCCTCGCCCTCCTCCTCGCCCTCCTCCTCTCGCTCGCCCTCGCCCTCGCCGCGAGCGAGGCTCTCCGGCAGCACGCCTGCCACAGCAACCATCTCGAGGCTGAGGCGGCGGGCACGAGGACGGGCGGGGCCCTTCGCGCGCCGTGCAGCACGTCGCCCCGGAAGAGGAGGAGCCGCCCCTCCTTGGGCCGGACGAGGAAGGCGCTCGCCTGGAGACGCACACGTGCGCCGCGTCACCCACGCGCTGGACGGCGCGCGGCCAGCCTGGGGCCGGGAGTGGTCGCCTCTGCCGCCGCGTCGCCCGACCCGGAGGCTAGCGTCTGCGTGGTGACCATGGTTGGCGCCGCCTTCCTCCCGCCGAGGTAGAGCACCGACGAGACGAGGGGGTGGCGCGTGCCGCCGCCCGAGAGGAGCGTCGCCTCGTCGAGGTCAAAGTGCAGCTGGTGGAGCGCGCGGCGGCTGCTCCGCGTGTGAGCCCACCACTCAACCGTCCTCAGGCGAGGCGCCGCCGAGCCGCCGCCGCCGCCGCCTCCCGGGTACAAGTCGGCGGCGTGCCTATCCTCGGGTTGTGACGAGGTCCCGAGGCCTGATGGGGCGGCTCTCCCTCTTTGAGAGCGCGAGGCGACCGCTCCATCAGCGGCTGCAGCAGGCGGGCAGCCTGCTCGACGAGGAGGAGCGGTGGTTTGGAGGCCGTGAGGTCGTGCCGGTACGAGAAGAAGCACGGCGTGGGATAGCCGTGCTCCTCCCAGAAGGCAGCTCCCGGTCGCAGCGCTCGCTGCAGCCCCGCGATCACGGCTGGCGGAAGCACGCCGTCGAGCACTATTGGAGCACCACAGAGGCCAGCAGGGCTAGGCGTCGCCGTCGATGGCGGCGCGAAAATGGAGACCGAGAGCCGGTGGCGCATACCCAACGCCCGCAGAAGCCTATCTGCTTCAGAGCCGCGCCCTTGCCGCGAGCAGAGCAGCGCGAGGTCGTGCTGTGCAGTGGCGCCGGCTGCAACCCGTCCCGCAGCCTGCTTGAGCTTGGCGCTCGTCGAGCTGGTGTCGAGGCGAGCAGCCGCACGGGCGCCGGCGGCGATGACGCGACGCAGGCGTGCTTCTTCCGCCTCTGCCATTTGTCAGGCCAGGGCGACGGAGGTAGCAGCGAGGTGGCAGCGAGCAAGCGGCTGCCGGCTCGCCAAGCCGCACGCAGCCCCGGGCCGCAAAAAGAATTTTTAGCGATCAACGCTTTCGATAGACCGAAAGTAAGATCGTTCGGTGCAGAAACCCCGGCCATGCCCATGTAACGCAATTGTGCTCGATTTTTTTGATTTTTTGGTCGAGAAGTGTCTCCAAGTCTTCTGGACCCATCGATGGCCGTCGCCTCGACGCCGCTCGTCGCGGCACCATCGTGCCCGGCCTGGGCGAAGCATCGTCGCGGGCGCCAGCCGCAGTTCGACGGCAAGCCGTGCGAGCCTGCTGAGGAGGAGGACATGTGGCTGTGCCTGGCCGACGGCCGCGCGCGCAGCACCGCCGACCTGAAGCGCCTGGCGACAGCCGCTCGGGTGCGAGCGAAACGAGCAAAAGATGCAGCCGCCGCGAACACGCGCGATCGGCAGGCGCGCGACCAGCGCCGCCGGCAGCGTGAGCAGCACGACCGGCGCGCAGCGCCGGCGGTCGCCAAGACCGTGCGCCCACAACGCGGCCAGTGCGGCTGCCCGGCGCACGCGGTGTGCGGCATGTGCGTCGACCAGGGCAAGCTCGCCGCGGCCGAGCAGGCGGCCATCGACCTGGAGACGCGCTTCCACGCCTCGACGAACGTCGTCATGGACCTGGAGCGGCCCGAGGACGAGACGGCGGCGCTGCTGCAGCGCTGCGTGCACGTCTCCGACGAGACGAAGCGGCGGCTGCTGGGCGAGTGGAGCGACGAGCGCATGGCGCACGCGCTGCCGCTGCACGCATGCGCCTCGTGCGGCGTGCGGGACCCGTCGCTGACGTACACGCGGGTTGACGTGTCGGCGCTGCCGCGTACTGTGTCTGTGCGCGTAGCCGGTAAGAAGAGTGGTGAAATTTAGAAAAGGAGTTGCGGTGTTGATCGCCGCGGGAGCCCTCTTATGGCAACGACTCTGGGCACGGGACTGGCGCGCACTGAGAATTGCGGCGTGCACCAAAAAACGCCCCCTCCGTGTCGCGATGCTCTCCCCGCTCCCGTTCCCCTGTGTCCCTGATCGTCCTTACTCAAGATCTTACTTGCAGGTGGGGACCCTGTCCTTCTCCCACCCCTCGTCTGGCGTGTCTGTTTTATTTACTCTGCACTTCCTAGCTCCCCGGCCCTGGGTGTGAGGCTGATGATGACTCGAGTGCTCCAAATTCCTCAATTGTTTTCTTTCTTTTGCGTTTTGGCACACGCGGCACGCGCGCCGGTGGGCGGGGGGTCCTCTAGGGCGGGGCTACTAGGGGCTCTGGGGGGAGGCGGGGCCCCCCGGAGGCACCGTGCGCCGCGCAGCAGTGAGGAAACGGGGCCCCGGCTCCGCTAGTCTCAGCTAGCACCAACTTCCCGATCTAACGGTCTAACAGAGGGCAGATTTGGAGAGATCTCGAGGAGTACATACAGATAGACCCTCCAATCATCAGAAAACTCCAACCTGATCGGTCGTACTGACCGCCGACAGGTCACTCCAGACAGCAGACAGGCCGACGTCTGCGCGCGGCCGGCCGGCGAGAGGCTTGACACGATCCGACCCTGCGACCCTCATGCTGCTGCTCTAGCTATCAGACATGCGCTGCTGACTGCTGCCACAATGTGCGACCGGTGCTGACCCACTTGGCGGCCTTCCCGGTCAGTGGTGAGGCGCAGTTCAGAGCTGTCGATGCACGATGGCGCGATGCCGCACTGGTCCCACATTGGTGACACGAGACCACCACGTTTGCCGGTCCAAGAGAGAGGCACCGGCGCTGTCGTGAGAAGGTGCATGGTCCCTCTTAACTGCCCATGCGCGCGAGGCTGTGTAGGCATAGCCTCGAGAGTGCCAGCAGCCAATCCGACAATCCGAGGCAGTTTGTGACGCGCATTGCGTCAGAAGCGTGCACGCGCTGGAAGGACACCTTCCTACTGGCCGTACGATCAGGTCGTCACTGAATGCTGGGTACTAAGGCCGCGAGCTATGCAGGTGGTCAATTGTGCCGCAGGGCACGGTCAGCAGCGCCGACAGGCTGTCGCAAGGCGTGATAGCATGGTCGCAATACGCGAATTCTCATGAAAACAAGTAGAAAATCGCGCAAAAAAGAAAAATACGCGAAAAAAATCGGCGCCTGCGGCGGGCCATGGGACCCCATTTCCCCCCCGCATGGGTACCCCCTAGGGGCCCCGCCTCCCCCCAGAGACTAGGGGGTCCTTCTGAGTGAGTTTTGTGCACTGTGGTGGTGCGTGCTCTTTCGAACTCGCACGCACATTTTTTCTAATAAGTTTTAAGATGAAGAGAAAACTGCGGACTTCATGTCGCCGGCCAGTGCGCCAGTAAGGTTGCAGCGAGAAGCGGCGAGAGACTGCGAAGAGAGATAGGAAGAGGCAGACTCCCTAGCGCCTAGGGTGGGCGACGGCTAGCGCATCACACACCTCTCCTTAAAATCCCAACAAAACAAGAGAAAGATCTCTCTCTCAAAACAAGTTAGAGTTGTTTGGTATTGCTAAAAAAAATCCCTGTGTGGTGGCGGCGTGCCGTCCTCCCATCCCTCCCTTGGGTTGTGTGTTTTCTTTCTTTCTTTAGTGCGCCAGTAAAAGAAAGAAAGAATTCTTAAAATACAAGCCAAAGAAAGAAAACAGCGAACCCAAGGGAGGGATGGGGAGGCTAGCCGTCGCCCACCCTTGGGCGTCCGCCTCTTCCTATCTCTCTTCGCAGTCTCTCGCCGACTCTCGCTGCAACCTTCATGCCACCTCGCGGTCGCCCCCCTCTCGTCGTGCTCTCCCTTGTCGCTTCTTCCTCTGTCGCGTCGCTCTCCTCTGCCTCGTTCTGCGACGCCGATGCGCGCCCCCTCCTAAATAAAGCGCCCCCTCCTCGCAGCTTCTTTCCCGCGGAAAAATTCTTTCCCCCCCCCGGCGTGACGAACCTGACCCTTGTCGCTGAAGCTGTCGCTGAAGCCCGGCGTAAAGCCAGCGCCTCTGCCCACTGCGGCCGTCGCCGTCGGCTCCTGCACGCAGCCCGCCGCTGAGCTCCGCCAGCGCCTGCCGCGATGGCGACCCCACCCACGATCAACCAGGCTACCAACCCCGGCGGCTCGAACGCAGCCGACATTGACCCTCCGATGCCTCCCGCGGCGTGGGTCAACTTCGTCGGAGGGGGCGCGAGCGGGGCAGTGCCCAACTTGGTGGACCCAGCGACGGGGCTACCCATCTCCAACATCCCTCAGCCCCCAACCCAACTCGCTTTCCTGGGAGGAAGCAACATTGGTGCCATCGCTCCCAATGCGAAGCCCGTGAAGGCCAGACCAGCGCCGACGCCGGTGCCGGGCATCCAGCAGTCGCTCCAGGCGGCGAACGATCCGGGCTACAACGCGTACAGCACCCTCAACCCATTCGTGCAGGGCGGAGGCATCTCCACTATGGTGCGCTCCAGCGCTCGCTGCCGCCACCTGCCACCGCCGCCACCCGCCACCGCCGCCGCCGCCGCCGCCGCCTCCTCCTGCTCCGCCACCGCGCTCGTCGCCACCGTCATCGCCGTCCCCACTATCCCTGCCGCCGCCGCTGCTCTGTTTCTCCGCCGCCGCCCTCACCGCCTCCGCCGGCACAGCAGCAGCCGCTGCCGCCGCAGCACCCGCCGCCGTAGCTCCTGCCGTTTTGCCGCTCCGTCGCTGCGGCCGCCGACTCCCCCACCCCTCCCTTCGCAGGCGTACCCACCCACCGGTGAGTCGACCTACGGCCTCATGTTTCAGACAAACGGCGCGCGGCCACCGCCGCCCTCGCAGCAGCCACTCACCGACGCAACGCCCACCGCCGCCAGCCGCCGCCAGCCGTCGCCCCGTCTCCACCGTCGCCGCTGCCGCTGCACACCGCCGCGCGCGCCGCTGCTGCTGCACTCCGCCCTCGCTTTGATCACGAACCAGCCCAC